GTTGTCGCCTCACTAATTCATTGTCGATCTGAAAGGTCAGCACGTTCCATGAATCGTGGAACGGGAGAGGGTGGCTACCTGAAGTGTTCGTAACACAGTCTTGTATTGGGAGTCTGGTTCATGTGCTGAGGTGTCCAAACGCCCACCAGAGCCAATGAAGATTGGACAATTGCTATCAGGTCAGGTCAGATCAGCTTCAGTTTCAATATAGGACCCCTGGTAAAACTTACCACTGGACACGCCGCATGATGTCGAAGAGAAGTTTCATGTCATTCTTGGACGAAACGATGAAACTGGCAAGCGTGCCACCAAACACTCTTTCCAAAATAGATGACCACTTCGGTTCTAGCAGAGTGACATGGTGACCAATTGGGCCGACAGGGCGCGATTCCCATGATTGTTCCTGTTGAATGGCTTTGAGGAGTGCCGGCATTTTGAAATTGAAGCCCGATTGTCTCGATCCACCTTCTTTGGTGAGGTTCCGAAGTTGGTTCTCCGCTTGACTAATCTCGCGTTTTTTCTGTTCAAGCGGACCTTTCGCTTCGGTGAAATCTCGCTTGGCTGTTTCAATGTCTTCCCGTAGGCGAGCGGCACCTTGGCGGTGCTCTTCGTATTCCTTCTTGGCGGCAGAAGCGTCATTGGCGGCTTGTTCACACTCCTCTTGTTTTCGAGTGTAGCCACCATCGCTCACATCAGCGAGCCGTTGATTCTCATCATCGACTTTTTGCTGGGTTTCTTGGATTCTCAACTCGGCCGCTTTGAGATATTCCCTAATCTGGCGTTGCTCTGCCTATAAAAAACAGTCAGAGAAGGTATTTCAAGGTGACTCGAAGGACGTACCTGAAGGTCATGCCGGCCGGCCATCTCACTGTCCAATTTCTCTTTGATTTTGTCTCTTTCCTCTTGGGCCTCATTCACTGCCACGGCAGCTCGCCAGGCATGTTCACCGGCAGCTGTTTCCTCCGCGGTGACTTCATCAAAGGCAGCATCAAACCTAGTAAGGCGAGACTCGGCCTCCGCAATTTTCTGATCCGCCTCGGCGATTTGTTGGGTGAGTGAAATTTCCATCTGTCTTGTCAGTCAATCATCAAAGCGGGGAGTAGGGTGGGACTGACTCTTTCTTGCTCTTCAACTTGAGCCCAGGCCATTTGGCCTCGGATATTTCTGATCCGTTTTCTCAGAGAATCGTGCTGGTCAGAGATGTCGAGCTTTTTCTTGGCCAGTTCCTTGCGGTTTTGAAGGACCTGTACGTCTTGGGCTGATGTTCTGAGCTTTTCTTCAATTGAGTCAAGAGATTCCTCCACCAACCGGTAGTCGTTATCGAGCTGTTCTAACTGGACGCCTTTGACAAAGAATTTATATTTCTCAGCCGGGCTTGATGTACTTAGGAACTGACGGGCCATGTCTTGAGAGAGTACGTTCATAGGGTTTTCAATCTGCAGGGAAAAATAGTCCGTGATAGCATCCAGCTCGCTCTTTTTAGTCGAGACGATGCGCCCATTCTCTGACTTGATCTTGAACCCGCTGGTGCCGCTTCGGGAGAAATGGCGCTCGACAATAATGGTCTTCCCAAAATCGTCTGACAAATAGGCACCTTCGCCTTGATTCTTGATGCGAACGATGATCGTGCTATTTTCCTTGCCCTCTTTGATGAAGCTTTTGAGACTTTGGCCACGATTTGTCGCAGAGGCTTTGCCACCTAGACAGAGGGTGATCGCTGTCAGGATCGCACTCTTGCCGCTACCGTTCTTTCCAACAATAAAGTTGATCAAAGGACCAAGTTCGACGTAGAAGTGATCATGGCACATGAAATTGTAGCACTCAACGCGTTCGAGGATTCCATGATCGGCGGGCACATTGGCCTCGTCGATCAAATGCGAGTATTTTTCTTGTATGATCTGGGTCTGGCGGAGCTCTAGCTCGTCCTCGTCGTCGAGAAGTGCATCGTCGTTGACTGCTAGAAGTGAATCGGTATTGGTATCAGCGCCAGAAGAGGTTGAAGATTCCGAGTTTGTTGAGCTCTCTGAATTTGTCCGCTGTCGTTTTCTCTGTGACTGTTAGCTTAGCTCTGCTTAAAGTTATACTTGCTGGAATCGTACTGAAGAACTCATGGCCGGCTGGTTGGACCCATCGCTTTCTTCGTCGGAGTCCGTAGACTTCTGCACGCGCTTGCGGGATGACATTTGAAGAAATAGTTATCAACCAAAGCCAGCGGCTAGCATAGCGAACGGACTCGTCAGTCTTGACTGATTGTCGCGGTTTTCTGCCACGAAAACCCCACGAACTGATAAGCCCGAGGTCGCGTCGCGTCCGCGTGAAACAGACTTAGTAATCAAATGGGCACCACCCCCGAGTGAGAACGTAGCCTTCAGCGTTCTTTTGTCTTGCTGCTGAGTTCAAGAGGAAAGATGAAACTAAGAGAGGGAATCGAAATTGCTTTGCTTATGAATATGTTGTAGAAATCCGAGGGGACAACGACATCCAGTGTTTCTTTGTCCAGTGACCACAAAGAGACTCCGATAACCAAAACTATAGACGAGACCCATCGCATAGCGAGTTCTACATGTGTTGGCCAGATGTATAGGCGATATTATTTTGAATAGCCGATCGCTCGATCTACCGCTAGACTACAACTTCCTTTGGCTAGAGGTACGCGAGTTGATTGCGCACCTTCTCTAGTCCATCAAAATTAGCCTGTAGAGTAGTGGCAAGGACACTTGAACTCTTGATATTGCCATCGCTTGCCCATTCATCACATGCGTCACGAAGCTGCTGACACGCAGCTGCAAATGCACTCTGTAACTCAGAAGTCCGAGTACACGACCGGCCTAGATCATTCATGTAGTGGGTAGGGTCTTGTATGCATAATCGTTGCGCAACAAGAAAGTTCCGCTTTCCCGCAGCGGTCCGCTTGACGTTGATCAGAGAACGCTGACCGCGCTGGTGGGCAGTTTCATCAGCCCCGCGAGCTACAGGCAACATGTCTGTGCTGAAAAGCCCGGGGGGATCCACGGCGACACCGACAGACTTGAGGTCAACCTGAGTACCATAGAACTGTAGAAGAGCAAGAAACTGGTCACCCAAGCTATTTGGCCCGGGAAACCGGCCATGGTTCATCTTCAGGAATGCCACGACTAGCATGGCTAGCGCATCCGGCCCAACGCTCGCCTGCGATGAGCCAAAAAGGCCACGCGCCTCTAGCAGTGTACGTGTTACTGCGTACAGAGGTCGCAGGGCAGGATATTCGGCCTGATAATCTTGCAGATACTCCGTGATGGCAGGGATATCCTCGCCACAATAGAATTGTAGCAGGAGTCCAGTCGGCCGGTGGCGAGCTGATAGTGAAGGGTTTCGCTTGTCAGATATTTTGACATTGTCGAATATATCGGTGTGCTGTAGAGCTCTTTGGACTTGACGCAGAAGGCGGATGTGGGCATCTTGGATCTGAGGCCGCGTAGGGCTTGGTCTTCGATCACGTTCTAGTGATCTAGAAGGGTCTTCATATGGGAGTATAAAGTCAAGATCCGAGTGCGCCAGTACAAGGCCAGTGCAGTGGGATCCAATGACTCTTGGAGCATGTGGGACCACTGTTTTGAGAAGTGAAGCTACCTCTGTCCTGAGCTTCTCTACGCGGTCTCGTTCCCGAGCTCTTAGGCTCAGATATTGATGCAATGCTCGAATTTCTGCATCCAGAGTGATCTCGGCATTGGCGCGAGATAGCTCCAAATTTGTCAACCATGGACTCTGTGCCGGACGACCTGTCCCTGCAGGTTGAATCGCATCTTCTCCACGTTGACTGATGAGTGATTGGTGAGACGGTATATCAACAAGACTTGCGCGTTTTTTCTGGCGTCTTTTAGACCCCGGGTCAGGAGTATCCGGCGAATATTCCGAGTCCGGCAGAGCTGGTTCCACGGTTGGTTGGTAGTCCGCGCGACTCTTAGATGGGATCTCAGGCCGCCAGAGTCCGGCGGGATCTTCAACGGGGTAAATTTTGCGAATCAAACGAGACCGATTTGTGGACCGATGGGCTTCTAGGGTCTTTCGCAGGCTGTTGGCAAAGACATCGGGGGTCTTGGCTACCGCAACAGAGCTATGGAATGGACGAAAGAGGTGAGAGGGACGGATGCGTAAAGGTAGGCTCGGAAGCTGCATAACAGTCTTAGGGCATTTGAAGAGAGCAAAGGACACCGGAGTGGATGTCACCATGCCGAGGATGCATGCAGGTTCCTAAGGGTATTTTGCACAACTTGAACTATTTGAGAATGTATGCCTTAGGCCGAAACCGCCATGTGACAAAGGGGTTGCATTCTAACAAGTTCTGTTTTTTTATATCTGCGATGTATACCTGCATGGATGAATGTTCTACATCGAAACCTCCATCTAGATCACAAGTGCATAGAGGACCTCATACGACAGCGCATAGAAAGAGAAAGAAATCCATACATGACGTAGCACTGAGGAAATATCCACCTATCCCCCTCCATACTCTCTTCATCTTCGTCTTCGAACTGTTTCTATTTTCTAGTTATTCCCCTATTCACTGTCAACCCGAAGATCTTGTCCTGAAAAGTGGTCTAATCGCTTTCCAGGCCATTTCCCTCGATAACTCTCGATAAGACGACTTTACTTCACCGCTTGCCCCTCCATCCTTACTATTCCCTGTTCCTCCTTTCTTTATAGTCGATCTGTTTTTGTTTTGATCATCTTCTTTACATCGTCCATGGCTTTGCTGTCATAGTTCATTCCCCTCCCGACCTTGCTTATCCAGTCAGTCCTAATCCCCCGAGGTATGTAGCCTTGATCATCTCCCCATTTTCAACCCACCGACGTCAAGCTTTCCCCGGACCTTGGTGCATGTAACAATTGCAGTCTAACTCCCACAGTCTAATCAAACCATACCGGATCTCATCCTCCATCTTCCCGTCATAAGCACCGCTCGACTACTTGACTGCTTGACTGCTTGACTGCTTGACTGCTCATCTGCTCATCTGCTCGTCATGTCTGAATCAGAGAGCCCCGCGCAGGTGCCCGATGACCAGCCAAACCCCGTCCTCGTTGGGCCCGGATTAAAGGCTCTCAAAAATGACGCGTACACTCAAGCGACAAATGCGACACCCAGTCTGGAGAAGACGTCGAGCGAGGCCCCTTCATACTTTAACAATCTCCCCAGGGCCAACGCTGTAACCGCCGACCCGTCTGAGACTAAGTCAGAGCCAGTGCAGACTGCAGAGAGAGCATCATCCGGCATAGATTTGCTGCGCCGCTTAAGCTTGACCGCTGAATCTCCCGAGACTGATCCACGCCTAGAACACCCAGGACTTCGCTTGAGTGGCCGTCTCATCAGTGCCGCTTTCTGCATACCATACAAGCTCAGCTTTCGATCGGGATCAGACTGGGTACGTGGATGACTCCGTCTATTTGGGAGATCGTATTGGCTGACCGGATCACAGACGCTCAAATCGCGCTCCGGTACTTCGGCGCTGTTCGATTCATTTGCACATCTTGCATCTGATGAGACATCTTGGTCTCACACCTTAGTAGGCTGGACCGGAGAGGTCGAGCCTGATGTGGACATGAAAGCACCCTTGCAGCAAATACATCCCAATTCTGTAGTCGCACCTCTAACCCCCAGTAACCTTGTTGCCAACCAAGCATTGAACAAGGCTGCCGCACCGGTTCCCGTGGACGGAACCAAGAAGCCACCCGCTCATCCGCTGGTAGAGGGAATTAGTGTCACCCAACAGGACCGAGAACGACTCGATGAACAATTGAGCTCAGGCCGTCATGGCCGGGTATTGCCTGTGTGGTTGTCGGATGCATCAGAAGAACCAGAAGAGACTATTATGCTGAAAGACCAAGGGAGATGGCGCCGTTATGCCGAACGTGAGTTATATCCTCTACTCCACTACAAGCAACATGGCCCGACAGATGGCCGATCCGAGCGACGGTGGTGGGCCGACTACCTGCGCCTGAACCAATTGTTTGCGGATCGCATTGTGCAGGAATATCAAGAAGGAGACGTGGTCTGGGTCCATGATTATCATTTATTTCTTCTACCCAGTCTGCTGCGGCAACGTATCCCGAATATCTACGTGGGATTCTTCTTACATTCGCCTTTTCCAAGCAGCGAATTCGTCCGGTGTCTTGCAAAGCGCAAGGAGATCCTGGAGGGAGTCCTGGGTGCCAACATGATTGGATTCCAAACATTTTCCTATTCTCGACACTTTACCTCGTGCTGCACACGTGTTTTGGGCTTTGAGTCCAACTCCGCCGGGGTGGATGCCTACGGCGCCCATGTTGCAGTAGATGTCTTTCCTATTGGCATCGACGCACGTTCAATTCAAAAAGCCGCCTTTGGGGCTCCGGATATCGAGAAGACTGTGTTGGGCATTCGCAAGCTCTACGCTGGAAAGAAAATCATCGTCGGCCGCGATCGACTCGACAGTGTTCGCGGCGTCGCGCAGAAGCTACAGGCATTCGAGATTTTCCTGGAGCGCTACCCGGAATGGCGTGACAAAGTCGTCCTCATCCAGGTGACCAGTCCAACTAGCGTGGAAGAGGAGAAGGAAGACGACAACAAGATTGCTGGCCAAATATCCAATTTGGTTTCGACCATCAACGGAAGATTTGGCTCTTTGAGTTTCTCGCCCGTGCAGTACTATCCGCAATACTTATCTCCACGCGAGTATTTCGCTCTGTTGCGTGTAGCCGATGTCGGCTTGATCACTACGGTGCGAGATGGCATGAACACAACGAGTCTGGAATATATTGTCTGTCAACAAACCAACCACAGCCCTTTGATTCTTTCCGAATTCTCCGGAACGGCGGGCACCCTGCCTAGTGCCATCCACATCAACCCGTGGGATCTAGTCGGGGTGGCTGGAGCGATCAATCAAGCATTGACTATGCCAGCCGACCAGCGAAAGGAGCAACACCTCCAGTTATACAAGCATGTGGTGACCAACACAGTTTCCATGTGGTCCAGGCAATTCCTCAATCGCCTACTGACCAACCTTTCGTCCTTTGACCAATCCGTCGCTACACCTGCACTCGATCGCGCAAAACTAATGAAGCAGTACCGCAAGGCTCGCCGACGACTGTTCATGTTCGACTACGATGGCACATTGACACCAATTGTCAAGGATCCCCAGGCAGCCATTCCTTCAGATCGGGTACTCCGTACTCTGAAGAGCCTATCGGCTGACCCACGAAATGCCGTGTGGATTATCAGTGGACGGGACCAGGCTTTCCTGGACGAGTGGATGGGCCATATCCCAGAACTAGGATTGAGTGCCGAGCACGGTTGTTTTATCCGAAAGCCCGGATCTGAGGATTGGGAGAATTTAGCCGAGAAAAGCGACATGGGATGGCAGAAAGAAGTGGTTGATGTCTTCCAACATTACACAGAGCGAACACAAGGTTCATTCATTGAACGGAAACGGGTAGCATTGACCTGGCACTATCGTCGTGCAGACCCAGAGTACGGTGCGTTCCAGGCTCGCGAGTGTCGAAAGGCTTTGGAGGACACTGTCGCCAAACGATGGGATGTGGAAGTCATGGCAGGCAAGGCCAATCTAGAGGTCCGGCCAACCTTTGTGAACAAGGGATTTATCGCCACCCGGTTGGTTGACGAATATGGCACGGCCCCGGGGAAGGCACCGGACTTCATCCTATGTTTGGGTGATGACTTCACCGATGAAGGTAAAATTGCCCACCTGATTGATGCTGAGATCCTGGATTAACATTCAATTTAGATATGTTCCGAGCCCTCAAGAAGTTTGATCTACCACGCGACCACGTTTACTCAGTTACGGTGGGCGCCAGCTCAAAGCAGACCGATGCCAGCTGGCACTTATTGGAACCGGCCGATGTTATTGGGTCAATTCAAATGCTTTTTAGCAGCGCCAACCAAGATCACTGAGATTTGAACAAGACTTTGGCCAACAAACCGATGATTACCCGCCACAGCCAAGTATACGCCATGCTTCATCGGGGAATCTAGCCTTGGCATCCGTTTCAGGTCCGCATGCCGGAAATTATCACACGATCTTGAAGATGGGTTGATCTATTGCTAGCGGCCCATTAGTCCCATATTAAGACACTGCACTAGTTCAAAGGTTGCTTGCTATCCAAGCATTACCTCCGCCAACACGGGTTTAGCTCGGCTCCGGTTTATGCTCCCTTGCTTTTCACCTTCCTACGACAGGTTTTTTTGCCATGATTTTGTATAGACTCACATGTATTTACGTGCTAGAAAGAAAGCCATTGAATTCCCTGAAATGTCATGTCACATACAAAGAGTAGACGTACCTAGAACTATCCGAGAGAGCCGGTTTTGCGGGGACCCCGGGATTGCGCCATATCAAGTGAGTGTGGGGTCAATATAAGATATATAGATACATGTATAATGTAGATATTAGAGGCTATTCAACTTGGAAAATAGGAGTTAGCTATAGATACAATATAGATGCAACGTAAAAAGATACGCTTACAACTTCGGAAGTGGACCTGTCATCCGAAGGGCGCGGCCATCTCTGCGAACGACGATCGGAAAGATCCCCGTTATAAGAATTTTTCCCCAATTTTGACTTGACTCATTTGACAAGTTTTTTGTTATCTTGGAAGACTCCTACATGTACAAGGCGCATCAAGGAACCATGTCAACTTCTAACATGGCCAATATATCCAAGAAACCCTCAAGTATGACCGAAGAACATACAGAGAACGAAAAGGACATAGACCATACTCGCCATTCCTCAGATGAAGAATCAACCATCAGACATGAACTCAACATTTCCCACATACCAACCAACACCAGCGCCTTGAGCCGTACCCTCTCGGCGGTGCGCACTCGGGAATCTGGCAAAGATCTCGGGCCGCCTCCGGACGGCGGATTTCAGGCTTGGTCGCAGGTTGCCCTCGCACACTTCGTCATCTTCAATACATGGGGTTATATCAATAGCTTCGGCGTCTTCCAGACATACTATTCCCAGACACTGGGACATCCGCCCTCAGATATCTCCTGGGTTGGGAGTATCCAGATCTTTTTGTTGTTTTTTATTGGCACTTTCTCCGGCAGGGCCACCGATGCCGGTTATTTCACATTTACTCTGGCCTGCGGTGCTATCTTAGAATGCTTCAGTATCTTCATGACCTCGCTCTGCACAAAGTACTGGCAGCTATTCCTAGCACAGGGTGTTGGCCAAGGAATTGGGTGTGGTCTCATGTTCTGCCCAACCCTAGCTTTGGTCTCGACTTATTTCGCCAAGAACCGTGGCATCGCTATTGGCCTCGTTGCATCGGGCTCTGCGACGGGGGGCCTGGTCTTCCCGGCTGTTGTCATGAAGATGCTGCCCCATGTCGGATATGGGTGGACAATACGAACGCTGGGCTTTATCTCGGTAGCCACGCTGACTCCCTGTGTGCTGTTCCTTAAGCAGCGTCTTCCTCCACGTAAGACTGGTCCGATTGTCGAGTGGGCTGCCTTCACCGAGCTGCCCTACTTGCTGTTTGCGATTGGCATGTTCATGAACTTCTGGGGCCTGTATGTCGGCTTTTTCTACATCGGCAGTTTCAGTCGGAACATCATCGGCGTGTCAAGTGATCGATCTATTGATCTGCTCCTAGTCATGAACGGAGTCGGATTGGTCGGGCGATTGGTCCCCAACCTGCTTGCTGATCAGCTCACCGGTCCTCTCAACCTGTTGATCCCGTTCAGTTTCGCGACGGCCTTGGTTGGCTACTGCTGGGCGGCAGTCCACGGCCTGTCCGGGCTATGGACATTTGCTGTGTTTTATGGCCTCTTTGCTGCGGGTATTCAATCGTTGTTCCCAGCGACCCTCAGCACCCTCACGACTGATATGAAGAAGATCGGGGTACGCATGGGTATGGTACTCAGCGTGGTGGCAGTGGCAGCCCTCATAGGGTCTCCTATTGCTGGTGAGCTAGTTGTTCGTGATAATGGCAATTACCTGTACGCCCAGATGTTCATGGGATCTGCGGTCCTCCTTGGTGGATTGACGTTGATTGGGGCTCGAGTGACCAAGGTGGGCACTGGTATAGCTCGAGTCTGATGAATGAGAATATGATAAAATAGATAGTATATAGGAATATAGAAGATATAATGATAATGCTATACATATATCCCAAATGTCGTATGTTGCATGTTGTATGTCTTAACAAATCAACGACTTGTGGTTTGACGGAGAAGAAAAACGTCTCCACATGTGATTTAATGCGAGCGCGGTGACTTGACAACTCGCGAACTTGTTCCCTTCGAATTTTTGTATCCTTTACAACATTTGAAGATCTTTAAACTACTTTGAATTCTCCATGTAAGTGATTTGTTATTTTGATCCCATCCTGGAGGAACTCTGAAGCGACACCCCGCCTCTGCCCCTCCATTCATTGTGTGCGAAACCCCCCTCAATGAGAACCCGCTAACTCGTTCTCGATATAGAGATATACATTACTTCAGCCTTGTTACCAAAGCTCTCAAGCTCTCAAGTATTTCCTACATATCAATATGGCGCCCCGTGGTCGTGGAGGAAAGTTCTCCAAGCCTACTCGAGGAGGTATGTCGTGTGCGCCTGAGCATAAGTACGAGATACTTGAAACTGATCAGACGATGAATAGGAGGCAAGCACTTCAGCAGAGATCTTCAGCCATTAGACAAGGATGGCAATCAAATGGGTCTCTGGCGGGTAAGTGAACTTCAGCCCCAATGAACTCAATTTGTACAGCATCCTGATCATAACATCCCTCTCATAGGAGCCTGGTGAGCAAATCAAGTCATCGGGTGACGAAGATTCTTCATCCGAAGAAGAAAGCTCCGAGGAATCCAGCGAGGACGAGTTCAAGCCGATCGAGTCATCCACAGCTGCAGGAAGCCGCGAGGAGCGCCGCGCTGCTGCCAAAGCTAAGAAGGCAGCCGCATTGAAGAAGCGAGGCCAAGGACCCGCCCAACCGGGCGACTTACCCCCTTCAGACTCGGAAGAATCCGACGGCGAGCTCCCCGCCAACCCCAACCACACTGCCAAGTCCCGCTCGCAGACCCTGAAGCCCGTCGCCGACCCCGCCGCTGAGCCCAAGAAGCCCGCTAAGGTCAAGGATATCTCGCAGTTGTCCCGACGGGAGCGCGAGGCCGTCCAGGCCCAGCAGGCCCGTGAACGTTACCAGAAGCTGCACGCCGAGGGTAAGACTGACGAGGCGAAGTCGGATCTGGCTCGTCTCGCCGTTATCCGTGAGCAGCGTGAGACGGAGCGTCTGCGCAAGTTGGCCGAGAAGGAGGAGAAGGACGAGCAAGCCAAAGAGCGTGCCGATGCCGCTCAGCAGCGAGAGGATCGTTTGCGTGCTGCAGCTTCGGGGAAGACTAAGAAAGTTGGTAAGAAATAAGCTTGTGGATTTCGCTTTATATGTGGTCATGACTTGGGTCGAATTGTTGGTTACACATCTAGACAACAAAAAAAAAAACAAAGCAAACAGTTGAGATACTCTTCACATTGGACATCTGGAATCAATCAAACAGTAGGAAATATGCGCAATCATGTAAATTGAAATCATGTACACTGACGCCCCCATAGCATTAGATAATCGCCTCATTTTGGGGCTGGCTTTTTTTCGAGGAGGGATGAGCCCGACAAAAGAGATATTTCAGGTTTCGTACAGGGAATGGAAATCCCAGGGAGAGGATATAATTCGGGGGAAGCTTGCTACTTCACACGCCCCAGAACAACCCCTCAACGCTGCGGCCTTGCATGACAATGCCCCAACCGGCAATCAGGCTGACTAGCCACATAACGGCGAATATGAGGATAGGCACAAGCAGAAGTTCTGTGTTGTGCAGGAATGGGAGAGCATTGTATCCCAGGAACGTGATGTAGGTGTAGTAAATGAGAGCAGAGAGGTAAAGCGAGTTTCCAAGGAAAGTAGCCAGGAAATTACTCGGGCTGCGGGTGAGGAGCGGCAGAAGGAGGAACTGCACCACGTAGAGGTGGAGATATAGAGGAAAGAAGGCCCGGTTGGATACCTATGCAACGACAGTGTCAGTGAGTCGGAGATTCCACGGAATTTATGGCAGGGAGTCTTACGTCAAAACAATATCCAAACTCCAATTGCTCCTTCTCCCCTGGCTGAGTAAACAAGCCCTGAGCGGCACCTCGTCTTCGGCCACGGGAGCCCCGCAGGCCAGCTAGAGAGGCGGCAGCTCCGTTCGGACCGAATAGACGGCCAATGATAAAGTATCCAATTGTCGAGACGAGCAGTGACGAGCCGATGAAATGCACGAACACGAAGAGGAAAGCGAGTCGTATAATTGCGCCGAAGCCTGGCGTATAAGCAAGGCCCCATGCGAGGGCTGTGAGGAGGAGGAAGAATGATAGTAGGTAGGTGAATGACGGATCAGGCCGGTGCCATGTGTTTTTGGTTTCTGCTCCAAGGCGTCAATAGTGCTCGGCTGGGACGATAGTAACCGGTATTGCCAGTTGTATGTGCTTGTTCAATCGAGGCACTAGCCAAGTTTGGAATAATAAGTAGACTCACGTTTCTAAATCAGATAGCATGATCAGCATAGTTCGAGGGCCAGTTAGGATAGAGACCACTTACATGGTAGTATATCGATTTGAATACCTTCTTGGGTGCGATCAGCAACGAGGTCATCTCCCAAATTGCCATTTCAAAGTCCATTTGTGGGAATTTGAAAAGCCTGTCCCATATCAGTGATTGTCTCTCGTGCCGGGATTCTTTGGTCCTACTACCTCTTGAAGAAGCGCGGCATGCGGACACTAGACCGGGTTGCAGGTGTTGAGCCGAAGTTGGCAGGGCCGGCATGTTGGCGGGGGACAGAGATGTGAGGGTTCATGATCTTAGACCCCGTTTTCGAGGAGGGAAATCAATCTCGGAGCATTCACAATGCAGTTCAAT